ATCCCTCCAGATCAGATGGTTCTATCAAATTCAACAATTCATGAAATCTACGATGTCCCCTTTATGATGCTCAAATGAAGGGCCTTGCTAAGAAACAGTAGCCTTACTTGGAAGCAGAAAAGTAGAGCATCGTTGATCCAGAGATATGAATATTTAGACACTGTTGTGACTGTAATAATGAATGTTGTCTGAGATTTAATCTCAAAGTTCACTTGGAAACAGGGAGTCACATGCTTGTCATGATTTGCTACATACATTGAAAATATGTATTTCCTGCAATACATTTATTAATAGCAAGATTCTGACAATTTTTTATCTTACATTTTATTTCTATTTTAGTCAAAATGAAGATGTTAGATATTTATAAATGGAGAAAGTATAAATATATCTTGAAGATCCAAGACTGAAGAAAACGTTTAAGAAAATTTCACTAAGTGGTGGAATACTATATAACGGTTAAATGCTTTATTAAAGATTCATTTAATATCACTATGTAAAATTTCTGCCATTATGAGATACAACAATGTTCTTAATTGGAGTAGAAAGTCTGAAAGGATATCCAACAGAGTTCTCAAGAGTCATCTCTGAGTGGTGACATCATAAGGAATTTTTGGTTCTTCTGTGAGCTTACACATATTTTCTTTTTCTTTTTTGAGACAGAGTTGTTTCTCTGTGCATTTATGCCTGTCCTGGAACTCACTCTGTAGGCCAGACTGGCCTAGAAATCATAGAGATCCACCTGCCTCTTCCTCCCTGAAAGCTGGAATTAAAGGCATGCGCCACCACACCAGCTCATATTTTCTACTTTAACAATAGAACCAATGTAGGACCTTATTTCAGACTAAATTTGACAAAAATTAAAACCTGAATTCCACCCTAAATTGTTGTCAAATTCAGTTTCAAAAAGAAGGGCGATAAAGCTTTATTATAAAAAAAAACACCACAGGGATATGCACAACTAATTAAATAATAATAATAATACTTACTGAAAAGCAAACAGTCAGTCGTATTAGAAAAAGAGTTGTTTCAACTGATAAGCAAATGTTCTTGTTCTAAACAGAAATCCCCCTTCTCAATTGCAAACAGAGAGCAAGCACCTCAGTTTTTATTATAAGTTCAGCAGATGCAAAATATTATACAGTAGGAATCTGAAAGATTACTATGTAATTATCTTTACATGCTAAACATACATCATTGTCAAATATAATAATAGTTTTACCTGAATAGTGACAGAGTTCAAATAAGGAGCTGTATCTTTTTGGTTCACTGTATCTGTTACTCAGTCATGAGGAAATGATTTCTTAATTTTATTATGACACAGATATTGTTTCTAAAATTAGAGTCTTTCCTTGAGGCAGTCTTTAACTAAGAATCAGAAGAGTATGCTACACATTCTTTTGAAGACCTTGAGCATTTAAAAAAATTTAAATAACATTACATAAAGAGGAACTTGGCTTTGACCTGTCTGGAAATCTAAAGCCACTCATTCCTTTGGTGCCTGGTGCCAATAACACATGCTCCTTGTAGCCCCAAAGGCTTGGGAACAAGTGAACTGAGCGTATTCTTTAATTCATTCTTGTCTTCCTCACTTATCAAGAGAGGAGAAGCCTTGCCCCTAGAAGACAGGGACTGCCCTTTCTCCCGAGCTACAGGTGACAGTGAGATCCTTAAGGTGAAAACCTACCAAGAAAGTGAAGCAGGTGCATGAATAGCTCTGAAGCAAGGCAATGAAAAATAGCATCACTGCTGACAAAGGACCAGGAGTTCAGCAGAAATGGCTACTTTCAGGGATGGAGAAAAGGCATGTTGAGTAAGACAGATGAATTGCTAATAATTGATAACGTCTCATATTAAATAAATAATGTTTCACTGATATCAACTGTATAGATGAAACTGGTACAACAAACAGAACTGGAATTTGGTAATAGGCAGATTTCATTGCAACCTCAAAACCACATCTTTTTTTTTTTATAAATTGAAGCTTTAAAATTAAATGCTATGTAACCAAAAAAAGAAAAAAAATGATGCTCTTTCACTCCTAAGGCATCTTGGTAAATAGAGGCCCTTAGAGCAGGTAGCACTCCAAGGGGTGGGTATAGGAGAGGGTACGATGATCTCCAGGACCTGGGCCGAGGTAATTTGTTCATTGAGAAGAACCCAAGAACTACAGGAGGATGAGGAAAGCAGCTGAGACTCTGCCAGGGAGACAGGACAAGGGGAAGGTCAAATGACCAGAGGGCCAGAGCCTGGATCTCAAAGACACAAAACTATAGTAAAAGTTAGTATTGGCTCAATATAAAGCAATAACTCTGCCTAAGCAATTGTCTCGATGGCACAGAGATGTCTGTGTGAAACACTAATTGGCTGTTCTGGAGGGTTCCTGGGAGAAGGACACCTACGAACGAGCACACTTCCCAAAGCGCCTGTGGGTGAACATTTTTATGGTAGGATTTATTTTAAAGTTTGCATTTGTAACTCCAATTAAATAAATATATCTATTTCCAACAGCCCCCTTGCAGAACGAGTTCTGCTATTTTAATTATTTTGGAACAAAGTTGCAAAAATGTGAGAATTATTACTCTGCCAGTCATAACAATGCTGCCGGAGAGCTGGGGGATAGTGTGACGATATACACGCACAGCTGAGAGGAGTAAGATCGATGCCCATATGTGTCATCTGAGAACTGCCTGCCTTCCTTGATAGTCTGTTAACACGCTTACTGTAACTCAGAACACCGAATAGTGTAGAGAGTGTAGTGTCTCTGTTCAACCTTAGGATAAGCAAAACCCTCAAAAGTCAACACTTTTTAAAGTTTCATGTTTTTAAGGACATTAATTTAAAAAAAAATTAAAGTTATATTTCTTTTAAGGTATTCTGTAGCGTAGAAAGGACTCTGGATAACTTTAAAGTCAGAGACATCTGAGTTCAAATACTGACATCACCCTTTACTAGCTGTGTAAATCTGGACAAATCACTCAGTATCAGATTCCCAAAATGCAAACCACAAACATGTTGGCCAGCATCATGAATTGGGTGATATGAGGCTTGAGTATAATGCTCTCTGTTTCAAGGCAAGGTAGTGTTACACAAAGTCGGCAATTATCATTGCTTATTGTCATTATTACTAAGTTAAGTCTTTAACTTAATTATGGAAACTATATAGTCCCGTGCTAATTCAGAGCTACATGTGGGTTTCACATTAACAGGGAAGAGTTTATCTATCAAGCATCACCATGATTTTATTATATGGAAGCTTAGTCTTTCGGATGTGCAGTGAATATTCAGTGAATTGAAGCTTTGGTTTACCTCAGAAAGACGTAGGGATAAAAGATGTAGTTACTGCCTCCCTGGGCTTAGAGGGCAATGAGACAGCCATGAACACAGGCAATTACTATAGTCTGGTCATTAAAAGGAACATCTAGTTGGGTACACTGTATGGAGTTCAGATGAACATTGTTTGCCTTGAACTCCACGGCTGTAATGCCACCTGAGAGCAGTCCTGTTCATGGACTAGATTCAGACAGTGTGGAGATAAGGGTCCCACAAGACAAGATCTCTGAGAGGAGGAATATCCTCTTGAGTTTGAGAGAACAAGGAGCAGGCAAAAGTGTGAAGACAACAGAAGCGGAAGAAGCATGCTGCCCAGAGGAAAAATCTTCAGTGGACATGTGAGGCTGTGTCGCCCTGCTTCAGGGAAGGTTTAGAGCGAGGAACAAAGCCTTGCTGAAGATGGATGAGCACGAAACATGTCCAACATCTAGTCACAGACTCTGACTTTAATCTAAAAGTGTCGAGGAGCCATCCAGAGTTTCCATAAAATGTGATTTAAAATATAATGGAAAAAGCTATCATATTTTAAATTTGATATTTAGTCTACTGTATTTTGGAAAAGGAGTTAGTTCAGGTTCATTTTCTCTTTTCTGATCAATTACATATTATTCACTATAAAATTATTTAGGTAATTGGGATGGATAGCAGAAATATGACTAATTTTATCACTTTAAGCAATTTTAATTTGAATGCGAATGTCAAAACTAGACATAGTTATTTAATACTGTTGTCATTAGTTTTTATTGTTGGATAAAAACACTTCTAAATATCCCATTAAAACAATAAAGTATGAATATTGAATATTAATTTAAAATTAATGTTTTAAATTAATATTATTCATGACAAAACATTAAGTGCAGGGCTGAGATAAAAGAGAATCTAGTTTGGAAAGTCTTAATTTTTCAAAAGGAAGGCTACTCCAAAGATTTCTTCATGGATGACTACCTCCCTCGAATAAACAGAAAGAAACAAGTCAGAGATGTTTCTGGTTCTGTCCTCTGGACATCTGTAATGGCTTGGACTCCTATGTCAGCCACAAGAAACACAGAACATATGCAGGGAACCCACACACTCACATATTCCCCCCTGCTGGTTGGTTATGACGAAGGCAAACTTATTTTCCTCCCAAGAAAGAAATCGAGGACATTTTAGTTATTCATGATAATATTTTCAATACCTATTAGGTGCTTTATTTTTTTTTTTTGAAACTGGCAACACAAGTGTGTGCACCATAATCTCATGTTGAGTCTCCGTTCATGTTACCACCTCCAGCTCAAGCCCCTGATGATGCCAACCAGACGGGACACCCCAAGGTCTGCCTACCACAGCCTTTCCTTCCTACAGCTTCCAGGCCAGCAAATGCTGTAAAGTGAAGCTGGAACGTCTATGTGGATTTTGCTGCTTGTTGTAATTTGGAAAAGCGGCTTCCATTTATCAGATCTTATTTTTCTCACCTGTAAAAAAACTCATAGAGGAAGAATGGATTTTTCAAATTCTCATTTGCCGATGTGGGAACCACAATTTAGGGAAGCTAAATTGCTCGCCTAAAGCTAGAGAAGTTAATTGAAAGCTTTCAAAAACTGTAAGCCTTGTGCGTTTTCCACCACACCAAAATAGCCATCGACGCCGAGTCTGTGAGGGGCACAGCAAAAGGATATTTCAATACATACCTGCTTCGTGAATCTCTTCTTTGCCAGTGTAGGAGGAAAACACCTGCCTGGAAAACTTGTACTGTTGTTCTCGGAAATTGTTTTGTAAGTAATCCATCAACATGACATAGCCAGACTGTTGCATTGTGAGAACTTCACAAAATACAGCCAGCTGGAAAGAAGACCAAACCATTTAACACACCAGCTTCAAAAGCCTCAGCAAACGCTTTAATGGGATAGTCTGCAGCACAACTACAAAGCAATGCTTTTACAATAGCGTCAAATTGCCTCATTATGTGAACCTCCGAGATTACCTGGCTTTCGGAAATGCTAACTGTATCCTTAAAAACAATCCATTCCACGGTGTCTGTGCAGGGAGGAGATGTCAGTGAGCCGTTGTAAATGTAATACTTGTCAGTGGAGTTGGGCAGAAGGTTCTGCAGGATGAACGGATCTAAGGCAGCCTGCTTCCCTAGGAAGTAATAACACACATCTCAGCTGGTGTCCCAACACTGGAACTTACTTATCAAATCTGCTGTGAAAGAAGAGCGCACTCTTACCTTATATACTTAGAATAGAAATTTTAAGAATGTTAGATATATGACATATATGTATATAAAATAGAGTGAGCATACCACAAATCGCCTTAAATATATCATTATAGGCTGCTCGATGTCTTCTCTTTTAACATGATGCTAAAAAAGATCATTTTATATAAAAAGATAAAGAAATCTATGATTATGTCAATGGATATCATCTACATAATTTGAAAAAAAAATCATTCTAGTTCATCATGTAATACAAAAGCAAAGGCCTGACCTGTTTAGATCATTGTCAAAAGCCTAGAGTGAGCATTGGTTTAAGACTGACACACTGAGAACTTCCCTGGGAAGTCAAGAACAAGATAAGGGTGTGTCAAGTCATCACGTTTGTTTGATATTAAACATGAAGGAGAAGAAAACTGTGCTAAGTGAAGCTGGCACATGGCTTGATCCTAGCACCTGGGAGGCTGAGGAGGTGGGTTGGGAGCTGGAGGCTTGCCTGGGTTGCTTAGGGAGACGCTCTTAAAAAAAAAAAAAAAAGAGGAGTGGGGAGAAAATGATTAGGATTTATAGGAATTGATATCATCCAAATTTGCAAACAGCACACATGATTGCGCATCTGCGGCTTTGGGAACAAGACAGAAGAGCAAGGCAGAGAGAGCCAGAATACCAGGAAGTCAGGTGTGAAATGGTCTCTCCTAGAAATGGCTGCACAAAGAAGACTTTGACAATGACAAAAAGCAGTGGATATGTTAAAGAGAAGGTGGGAAATTTTCATGGGGCCCCCTCCCTAGACAGAGAGCCACAGGCAACTAGTGGTGGTTGGGAGGGGAAAAATTAATCTTTCCTAGGGCTTAGCCCCTTATTAATTGTCCAATAAGGAGTGGTCAGCCCTGAAAGTCATATACACACAAACAGCAAAAGTATACTCAGCAGGTTGTATTTATATACATTTTTGCATACATGTAAATACATATATGTGCATATATGGAGCAGCAATAGTCAAAAAAAAGTGGTTATCCATTTGATAGTGAGGGAGGATATGGGATGGGCTGTGGGGAGAAAAGGGAACAAAAAAAGTGATTTAATACCATTTTGATTAAAAGCCTTTCTTTTTAAAGAGTAAATAGTGTTTAAAAAAATGGCCACCACTCCCACAGAATTGCAAAACAGAACTCTGAAAAATATTTTTTAAAGAAATCAGATGCAAATCAAAACAACTCTGAGATACCATCTTAACACCTGTCAGAATGGCTAAGATCAAAAACACCAATGATATCCTATGCTGGAGAGGTTGTGGAGTAAGGGGAACACTCATCCATTGCTGGTGGGAATGCAAACTTGTGTAACCACTTTGGAAATCAGTGTGGTGGTTTCTCAGAAAATTGGGAATCAAACTACCTCAGGATCCAGCAATATCACTCTTGGGAATATACCAAGAGATACTCAATCATACTAAAAAAGCATTTGTTCAATTATGTTCATAGCAGCATTATTTGTAATAGCCAGAACCTGAAAACAACCTAGATGCCCCTCAACTGAAGAATGGATAAAGAAAGTGTGGCACATTTACACATTAGAGCACTACTCAGTGGAAAAAAAAAAAAAAGCAATGACATTGTTTTTTGCATGCATTGAATTTTGCATGCAAATGGAGAATTAAAAAACACTATCCTGAGTGAGGTAACCCAGACTCCCAAAAATAAGTATGGTATGTACTCACTACTAAGTGGATGCTAGCCATAAACAAAGGACACTGAGCCTATAGTTCATGATCCTAGAGAAACTAAATAATAAGGTGAACCCCCCCCCAAAAAAAAACCAAATATATACCCACCTGGAAATTGGAAAGAGACATGATCGTCTGACAAAATTTGGGAGTGGGATAGTCGAGATAGAGGAAGAACAGAGATGAGAGCAAGGAAGAGATATCTTGATTGAGGGAGTCATTATGGGGTTAGCAAGAAACTTGGCTCTAAAAAATTTCCCAGGAGCCCACAAGGATGACCCCAGCTAAGACAATAAGAAGAGAGTGCCTGAACCAGCTATGCCCTGTATTCAGACTGATGATTATCTAAATATCATCATAGAACCTTCGTCCAACAACAGATGGAAACAGAGGCAGAGACCCACATTGGAGCACTGGACTGAGTTGCCACGGTCCAGTTGAAGAGTCGAAGGAGTGAGAGTATGAGCTGGTGTGGGAGGTCCTTCTGTCTGTGTGTTTCTTTTCTTGGTTAATTAATAAAGAAACTGCCTTGGCCTGTTGATAGGACAGAACTTAGGTAGGTGAAAAAGACAGAACTGAATGCTGGGAAAAGGAAAGAGTAAGAGATGCCATGGATCTGCAGCCGGAGGTAGATGTGCTAAAACTTTGCTAGTAGGCCACAACCTCGTGATGATATACAGATTAATAGAAATGGGTTAAATTAAGATGTAAGAGTTAGCCAATAAGAAGCTAGAGCTAATGGGCCAAGCAGTGATTTAATGAATAAAGTTTCTGTGTGATTATTTCAGGGGCTGGGTAGCCTGGACAAAAAAGTGGTCTCCTTGCAAAAGTGAGCAAGGAAGTCAAGACCATGAGAGGTTCACCCACTGATATACTTTGCCTGAGCTAATGGGAGCTCACCAACTCCAACTGGACTGGGAGTGAATGAGCATGGGATCAACTAGTCCCTCTGAATGTGGTTGACAGTTGGGACAGACTGAGGGATCACTGACTGGCACTGGGATTTGTCTCTACTGCATGTACTGGCTTTGGGGGATCCTATTTTCTTTGGATGTATATCTTGCTCAACCTAGATGTAATGGGGGAGGCCTTGGACTTTTCACAGGGTGGGGTGCATTGCTCTCTCTTAGGATTGGAGGGGTGGGGTGGTAAGGTGTATGGAGGAAGTGGAAGGGGAGTGGGAGGAGGGGAAGGAGTGGGAATTTGGATTGGTATTGTTTAAGTAATAAAATAAAATAATAATAATAAAAAATCAGGAAATTGAGGAAACTTTTGGAAGAGCAATTGGGTGATTATTTGGGGCAAAAATGGAGAATAAGAGAGCCAAAATGTGTTCCAGCCAGCATTCTTTGGATTCTGGACTCTTTGTCATTTCAAAATCAGTATCAACTGATGCTCCTTTTGTTCTAGGATCCACTGCCCTCATGTATTCGGAAATTTCCATGTTTTAAAAATTCTGGTGTGTGCAGAAGCACAACAAGATACTATTATTTACAAATAAAGGAAGTTGAATTGTAGTAGAGAAAGATCTCAAGTATTCTGAAAAAGGATAAATAATAGAAACATGACTATTATGGAATAAGCATTGTTGTATTCAGAATAAACACTTGTCTTTTAAGAAATACTTTAAAGGGTAAAAAAAAGAGAAGAGGAAGAATTAAAGGCACAAACACAATTATACAAAGAAGAATTCATAAGGCAGGGAATTAAACAAGTTCATATGCAAGCAAAGAGGTGAAGAGCTCTTGTCATGTTAATAGACAATGGAGAACTGACTGAATGTGTTTGAAGAGGTTTATTTCTTTTCTCATTTAAATTCTGTATTAATTTAACTATATACCACATTTGCAAGCTTCAAAATAAAATTGAATTAAACATGCATATTGAGAAGTATTTTTAAAAGACTATTCTGTTAAATAAATGAATCTGGCAAAGTCACTGAGCACAATACCAGTACAGTAAAACATAATTTTATTTCTACAGTTTCAGTTTCAAACAACAAAAAATTAATTTTTCTGTAACATGAGTTTTTCCCTCTATTGTTTTCTTTAGCTTTTTTTATACAATATATTTTGATCATATTGTTTCACTCCTTTCTTCCAATATCTCCCAGAATCTTCCTCCCGCTTACCTGTACACTCAATTTCATGTCCATTCTCTTTTAAAAAGAAATAAAACCCTCAAACTGAACAAAGACAACAAAAAGCATCAAACAACAAACAAACAAAACTGGAGTCTGTTTTGTGTTGCCCAACTCCTCCCGAGTATGGGGCCTGCCCTGGATTGTGGTTGATATACCCAGTGCCACTCCATTGGAGAAAACTGATATCCCTTTCCCAGAAGCTACTATTGCAAAAGCAATGTGGTTTAAAATAAGAGGAAATATAAAATACAAGGACCTCTGACTATCCCAAAACTCACTATACAGACCAGTGCTGAGACCGACAGCATGCTCCACTACCTATGTTTTTCATCTGCTAACATGGATGCTGATTGTAAAGTTTAAATGAAACACAGTCTATAAATCCAATAATCTTGAACAATAGCAAGCTGCACAAATGTCAACTGCAGACAAGAAGGCTTGCTCATCATATACTGTTGTGGAAACCATATAGTGACATTTTGCAGACATGTATGATTCCTTTCCAACAGTTCTTGTCAAGGGCACCACCTTGGCCACCCAGCTCTTTCTTTACTGCCCTTATTCATATAGGCAATGATTTGCTGGCTAGCTAGATCTCTTGCATTTCCCCACCTTCCCCAATCCCTAATCCGGTGCATGTCTTAAAAATCTACCTGTCTGGGAGATTTAGGTTTGCATTACAGTGTAGTTCTTGGAGCCAACTGAGTCTGTGTGAGATAGCACCTACTTAGAAGAACCCAAGGAGTTTTAAAATAACATCAATGTCAAAGACTTCCCATCACTGGAAATAGACCTTCTAGGAGTGGAGCCTGGCTGCAAGCATTGTGAAATATATCCTCAGATGATGCAGACATGCGGTTAAGGATAAAACCCAGGTATAAGGAAGTGCTTCCAAGATTATCACCCTTCTGTTGACACTTTTCATGGACATTATTAATAATTAAAATTAGAACTAATTGACTAGAGTTTGAGTTAAAGACTAAATCTTACGAATGGAATACTATTTGACTGAATTACATTTCTCCTGGATCAATTAAAATCTTAGTTTAATTCATCAGGAAGTTCACATTTTGTTTGGCTTGATGGACTATTGATGTCTAGAAATGTCCAGTAGCAATATGATGTTACTAGTGTTTGGGGTCAAACTAGGACTGGGAAAAGTCCATGAGACCTCAACCCTACACAAAGAACTATGGGTAACTGAGGAAATCTATGAGCAGGAGAAGTTGGGACAAGCATATCAATTGGTTGCCCTGTGCCAAATAGCCTGGAAAACATACATACAT